TGATATTGCATAATTTTAAAATGCTGATGTACCTGTCCAAGAGGGAGAATATACAGAATAAATAAAATGGATCCCAAATCAGAACCTTGAGGTACACCACAAAATAGCCAAGTGTCTGACATAATTCCATTTACAGAAACATTAAAACTTTGGTCAGACAGGTACAATAAGAACCACATGAGGACAAAAACATATAACCCAATATGGTTCTGAAGTCTGTTAATTAAGATCTTTTGATCAACAATATCAAAAGCAGAAAATAAGTTGATTAAGACCAAAACTGTGTAGTGCCTTGCATTAGCTGACACCATAACATCATTAGTAACCTTCTTTAAGGCAGTTTCTGTGGAGTGAGTTTTGCAAAAAACATATTAGAATTAGTAAAAAAAAAAGTAATACTTATGTAAAACGGTGGAAAATTGCTCTTCCACAGCTTTTTATAATAGCTTAGATAAAAAATTATAATTTAGATATTGGTCTGAAAAATAATTATGTTGGATCCAGGTTGTGATTTTTAAGTACTGGTTCAACAACTGCAATTTTAAAAAGCTGTGAGCCACACCTGTTGTAATAATAATAATAATAATAATAATAATAATAATAATAATAATAATAATAATAATAATAATAATAATAATAATGTGGTGGGACAAATATCAGTAAATGACTTCATTTTATCCATAACAGAGAGGTCTAGGAATGAGGCTGGTTCAAAAGAAGACCATGTATGAGGAAATTGGTCACAAGAATGATTGTAGAGGGTTGACAGAGAGACGTTTGCCCTAACATCACTGACCTTATCAACAAAAAAAATGAAAGAAAATGATTACAGTCTGTTTTAGTTGTTACATGAGCACTGGAGACTGAAGGATTAACAATGGTGTGAACGGTATCAAACAGCCTCTTGGGATTTTTTGCTAGAAGATATCAGCTGTGTAAAGAATAGAGATCTGGCATTTCTACTGGACGTTTAAGGAATTCCTTAGTACCTAAAGATAAAGTCTATGAACCTTAAGTGTATGTGATTTCCATAAATGCTCTACCCTATGAGAGTTTCTCCTCAAATTCTGAATTATTTCATTTATCCAGGGACAAGACTTTTTATAAAATGAAGTTTGTTTTCAAGTGAGCTACTTTATCTAAAATAGCTGAACAATGACTGTAAAAAGACTGAGTAAAAACATCAACATCATTACATCCTGACAAAATCAAGGGTTTAACAAAGCAGAGAACCTCTCAGCTGCATTCTGATCAATAATGTGCCTCTGAACCTTAATCTTTTGTGGCGGAGGATCTCGAGGAAAAAGTAAATAAAGAAGAATGCAGCTGGTCACTTGCATGTACATCCTGTACACACACATTTACAAGATTTAAACCAAGAAGATGTGGGTGTGACCCTTTATGTGTGTTGGTCCAGAAACATGTTTAAAATTAAGTCAGTAATGTAGAAAAAAGGCTAATTTACAATGAATATTGTCAACATGAATATTAAAATCCCCAAACTTTATCCTCGTTACCCAAAACTCTTCCTTTTGCCTTTTTTAATTTAATCGATCTCAATCATGCTTAAGCATTTGAAGGAATAAACCCATTACTACAAATTACACACAGATACACATTGTCTAACTACTGCACAAATACCCCCCTTGTGGCCATCTGGTGGGAAATCATGCACATATTCACACATACATGCCAATTTTGAGTAAGTAAGTAGGGCAGCATCACAAGATGTTGCTGGTAAGTTCATGTAAAGGATAGCATACCCCCTCTGGGAGTGGGCTGTGAGATCTAAGCCTTGCTCTCACTCAGACACCCCTTCAGAACGTATTGATCTGGTATTCTGTTTGAGAAACTGTGCCAGTTGCGCTGGCAACTTCTTCACCATTTGTTCACGCTTCTCCACTGGCGAAGCACATGTCCCACAAGCTTCAGTTTATGTAGCCTTGCAAATCTGCACTGAAAAGCGAACAGGATGTAGGATTTTGTTCTTTTTCGCCCATTTTCTCCCCCCTCTTCATCAACTCACCCACTCCTTCCATGCCAAAGATGGCATGCTCAGACACACAAGAAGAGAACATGAAAGCTGAGGATGAGGAGGAGACACAGGAGAGTGTTTTGTGTACTTTAGAAGCGCTGTTTGTGAAAGTGGAGGCGAAATGTTTGAATGTGTGTAGGTGCTTTTGGCCTGTGTTTATGTCTGTGGTGGCATGTGTGCCAGAGTATGTGTCTGGGCTGGGTGTTTTGGTGCAGTTTCCATATGTGGCCTGTTTGCTAGAGGAAAAGGTGGAAGAGTTAAGCACCCTGCTGGCACAGCGCCCATACTCATTCACCGGTAAGACCAGCAAATCTTCCCTGTCACTGCAGACCGGAGAAGCCATCAAAGAGGGTCTGATAGCAAAACCAGTCTGCTGCTACCTTTGTAAGTGTGTTTGTGGATGAGCGTGCACATTTGAGCACACGCCTTGTTTAATGTCTCGCTCTTCATGTGGGCTCGCAGTATTTTTGTACAGCGCTGTTGTTTAAACAAGATTGTTAAAGCTGTGCTTGTTAAAGAGATGGATGTGGGCTTTCTTTGTCTCAAGTAATCTCTTTCCTCAAAGAGAAAAGCAAACGTTCTTCTCCCAGATTTTCCCCACAGCCTGGCGAGTTAATTAAGAGGTTTTTATGACAGATACCTGCTATCTGACTTATGGGGATCTGTGTATTCCCTGAGACGGACAGTCTGTCTAAAGGCTCTTCCGACTTAAAATGATTTACTTATCGAACAAACTTCCGGATGCTTGATCAGAGTAACAGACGTATGGACAGATGGCTTGTAAGACTTATAGAGCTGAATGTAAAGTCAGCCATACTGCCTGAAAACCCCTTTACAGTCTGTCTGCAGTTGATTACAATGATTATAAGTGTAGGGTTGTGCTCATGTCAAGGTTTTCTGCCTCCTAAGCACTTCAGGGCCACTTCGCGAAAAATTGAAGGCTTCAGTCTCTTTAAGAGCTTGTAAAAAGAGGTAATGTCAACTCTGACTAATTCCCTCGTGCGTAAAGGGTGACAGGGTGAAAGGGTTATACGCCACTGCCGAAATGCTTAAAAAAGAAAAACGAAAAAGAAAGGATGTGTGTCAAACATGCTGTAAGAATTCTTCTATATTCAGCTTCTTGTGGTTCAGTTTTAGTCTACTATCTGGTTGTGGAGATAAGACGATGCATATTTCTCTAAAATTCCTGCTCCATATTTCACAGAAACCCTTACAGCAGGTCAAAATTCAGTCAGTTGTTTCCAGAAATCTAGTAGCTCTTAAGTTTATTCAACTATACCCTCCTTGGCTGATGTCAAACTAGTTGTTCCTGTGGTGACAATGAGAAAATGTCCTTCTCCGTCACATGGTAGACACAATATTATCTCCACTTTCTTTCTACAAGATTAGAAAACTTCCAGGTGTTTTAACTTTGACCTCAAGAAACTTTCCCACATAACGTCGGCATGAATCAACATACCTCGTGCTGCTGTAGGTCAGGGAAGATTTTGTTTACGCCTCTGAAGAACAGGTGAGATGGCAAGTTTGTGTTATTAACGCCTCCAAACAATTGTTTTAGCCGTCAAATGGAATAAAACTGGCACAATTTCCACAGCACATAAACACAACACTGCATGCATCTTGGCATATCTTCTGTAATTATTGTTTTGCTGTTAAGATTTTAAATGGCAGACAGAAAGAAGACGCAGAAACCTGCCTCAGATTGTTTCATTGGTTCCTAATGAAAAACTAGAAAGTTCCTGGAGAAATTTTGATGGGGACTGTCACGTTGCATCCATTACATTTTTTTTATTTGACTGTATTGTGTGTTGGGGTTCGCTCTCAGCTACCACTATATCAAATTTCAGCTTAAAATGGCAAAATATTAATGAGTTAGTCATTTTTTCTTTTTAGCTCAGTTGGCCATCTTGGATATTTGATTTGCGAACAAATCTATGAAAAATTATTAATAAAAATGGCGTCTTTATTTGCTACTTACGTCACCATGGCAACTCAAAACATAAATAAAAGTAATAGTGCACATCATGGTGCCGAGTCAGTCATTTTGATATAACAATTGTGGGGCTATACATTGCGGTTTGGGCTGCATTAAAGTTGATGGAAGAGTAAGATATAAAGTTAAGAAATCTTTGTCAGGTGGATAATAATAGGTGGTTGCCTTACTAGGCAGTCCCCAATCACTAAAAGAGGTTACATCAGTGCTTCCTGTAATTGCTAAAAAAAAAGAAGAAAATACTACGTTAATAACAAAGATCTACGTTTGATGGTTTGACAATCCAACCTTATCCATATCATGCATTACAGACTTAAAAATACACAAGCTCCACAATTAATTTACCTTAACTTTAATTCAATTTAATCTCACTGATGCTTTTCACGTTGATTTTGAATATGAAGTTTAGTGCCATTGCACGTTGTTTTGTTTCTGAAGCCATTTGTCAAATTCGAGGCCAAAGTTGAGTGAAGTCTCAAAACAAATTTTAAAATGTAGTCAAACATGTACTGTGGTATTCTAATAATATGAGGCCAACCAGCAGGTGTTTGACTCAAGTAGAGGAAAGTAAACATGGCTGTAATGTCACTTTAGAACGCAGGAAGGTGCTTTTGTTTTCTTTTGTTGAGAAGATTTAACAAAGCTACATAATGCTGCCAAGTCATATTCAGTAACATCTAAAATACCCAAAGCAAGTCTTGACTTGACTTTTTATTACTTCTATGCAAACACGTGCTTGTGTTTGTTTTCAATGATGTGCAGGTGTGTATGAACCATTACCAAAGAATCTTGTATCTTAAGAATCCATTATGTTTTTCCTGTTCTGTACTTTTTTGGTGTTTTTTATACACAGCTTGTTTTGTCTGCTTGGACCTGTCAGTGTTGTCTTCAGAATGTACCTTCTTCACTGACTGATATTTAATGGGGACTTTTTTTTAACCCTTTTTCCTCATTCTCTTGCTGTTTTTCCAGGAGAAACAGGATCCAAGCAGTACCTCTCTGCAGCTTCGCAATGAGATCCAGGTAGGCAGACAGTATATGTACAAAACATTCAACTCTTCGTACACGTATCACCCTGTTCCTCACTTATGTATTTTACACATAAGCTCTGTTGAAAGTCATTCTAAGACACGTCCCTTTTATTTTATCCTCAGGAATCTTTAGGCTTCAGCAGCGAGATGTCCACTCCTGAAACTGACAGAAAGTATGTTTTGTGTTATCTACTTTATCTCCCTGGTTTATGATGATGAGCAGTGTTGAAAGTTGGAACAGCTTGCAGTGGGTGTCTGGATCACATCAAACCATACACATGCACACACAAAAAACATATATCACACTTACATACATTCTTTGCATTGACAGAGAGCGGTCAACAGAAATACCCAGATCTACAGATACATGTTGACTTACTCTATCATGCATGGCAGCCTGTAAAAAAGGCATGACTTTACCCTTGGGGAATAGATGTTACCTCTGAGAATGGTAAATGGACTGTACTTGGACCTGGCTCAATAACAAATTTTGCTGAGCGATTAATTGTCTCAGAAATTATTACGATATACAATAATATTGTTTGAAATTTGACAATAATTAGTCATTATTGTCAAATTTAATAAGAAATGTTGATTTGTTTTGAGTGTAGTACCTTTTTTGACCACCAGATGGCAGTATAAAATTGTTTGAACTGAAGGATGGATAGTGAGGGAGCAAGCAGTGTGTCAGTTTAAAAATGGGAGGGAGGCCCCTTGACGTGACATGGGCTGTCTCTCCTTTTTTTTGGTTCTCAAAATGGCAGACCTCGGTGTGGTTTGAGCTCTTTAGCGTAGTATTTTTCACACAAAGCTTTTAATTAAAAAATCAGTAAACAAGTTCTCAGCTTCTTTTTGCAGAGAAAAACAACTTTTTACACGAAGGCACGGGTTTCAACCATGAATTTTTGAGCTTTGACAAGACTGAGTTTTTCCCCAAGGTTGGCCTGTTAGCTGAGCTCGTAGCTTATCTTCTCAGCTTAACTTCTCAGCTTAGATGCTTTTAACGATCCAAAAACACGATTTTGGATGGTTAGAACTGATTTTAAAGAGAAAAGAGAAAGGGAGGGGTCAGTGAAGAGCACAGGAGTTGAGCCTTTTGTTATCCAGTGTCCAGTAGAAAGAGAGAGACGCAAAGAAACGATAAAGCCGATAAATGAAAATAAGGTTGAGAATTTTCATTTATCATGCGATGAATTGATTTATTGTTTATTGCAACAGGTCTAACTGGACTTATTAAGTGCCTTTCTATGTGATCAAGATACTCAAAGTGCTTTACAATACAATATGTGCCCTCATTTACCCATTCATACAGCACTCTACTAGATCTATTCAAAGACTAATCAGTGCTTTATCACATTCATACACCAATGGGACACACATCGAAGGCAATGAGGGGTTTGGTGTCTTGCCCAGGAACACTTTGGCATGTGACTGCTGGTAGAATTGAACCTCCAACTCTTGCATTGGAGGAAGACTGCTCTAACCACTCAGCCACAGCCGCCCCTTGAGAATGTGAGCGTTGTATTGCTCAAGAGCAGGTCACAGGTGTTCACCCTTATCCAGCCCAACAGGGTCCCAAAACAATAAAAAACACTTGAGTTTGCCAATTCTTTGTGCAGCCTGCCTAAATTGGCACAACCACTACATGGACAATTGTCTCAATGTTAAATTAACTAAAGTAGCTCATTTCTTGTTGTTGTTAGAAGTCTGTTGAACAGCCACTATTCAGGCCATTATTTTAGTACTTTAGTCACCCTTTTTGTGGAAATTCTCAATTGGGTGAAGTTATCTAACTTTTCACCATGATCATCATGATATGGTTGGGCATGTAAGCTCTACTGGTCACATCCCTCCTGAGGTTAACGGGAAACCGGCGACTGTTTCCTCAGGCTGACCCGCTCAGTTCAGCAGCCATTCTCTGCTCTCTGGCCCTCTGCACTTCCTTCCTGGCTTTGTGTCCTGCAGCGTAAAGGGGCTGAGGCGGTGGACAAAGAAAGTGATGGCCAAAGATTATGGTTCAAGAACATGAACGAAAGAGCAGGATGGAGCAGGGCATGGGTGGAGTTCCTCTTTCAAATGTTCCTGTACCACTAAAGTTGTGGGTGGGGGGGTTCATTTTTTGCACATTGTTGTATTATATATGGATGAAATTTCTCCACCGTGTCCTAATATGTGGTTGCTGTAAGATAAGTTTAGATGGGTGTAAAACAACTGACGTTGGGGAAACGGCTGTCCTGCTGTCAAACAGTTGAATTCATGGTGGGCCACACACCCAGGGTTTTTCTTCACAGGCGTGTTTATTTAGTCTCTTCTTGGAGAAACCAAAAGTCTTTAATATAGTTGCTTTCCTCATGCAAAGGTAACTGTTGGAAGGTTTCAGGAAAGACAATAAAACAAGTGAATGAGGTAATTCCTATTTTAATCCATCGTAATTAATATTGCTCATCACCCGTGCATGACCTCCTTTGGATTTGTCGCGTCCATGTGACGACCGCGTGCAGCAGAGGAAGTGCATACCACAGATGTGATCTCTTTTCCCATGGCTGCATATGTTGCACAGACAAATGTTGAGGATGATGGGAACCAGATGCCAGATTTTGAAATGACGTCTCTGCTGTTCAAGAGAGGCTCTTAAAGAGACCCTAACCATACAACCTTCTGTCTGCTCTGTCTTCTAGCCTGGGATCTCCCTTTTGTTATGAGCTGTAAACATTTACCAGTCTTTATGTGTCTCTTATGAAGAAGCTTTGCGTTCATTTGCACTCTTTCTCCTAGTTGTCTTTCCAGCCTCTTTTTTTAATTAAGTTAAAATAAAGAGCTTTAACATTACTTTTAACTTTTTCAATAATGAATCCAGTTCTTGTTTTTCCACATTCACACCTTCAGAATATTCTTTTTTTGTGGATCTATCCTCCACTGTGAGCCCCTCTCTTCCCCCATCTCTCTTTTCTTCTAGTACGTTGCCCATTGTCCACTTTCCAATGCGGTGAATGGATTTCAGGTAGAATGATTTATCATGTGCAGGCGAACAAGCCCTGGCCATTCCTCAAACACATTCCTCAAAAGGCATGCCTGTGCGCTGACGCACAGACACCCCATCATCACCTCTCAGCGGGACAATAGAAGATTATGCAGACTCCGTCCAGCATCTCTGCCACCCCTCTCTTTTTGTGTTCCTCTGTTCCATTGTTGGCAGAAGGTGGGCACAGCTCCCGTTATGATTGGTATGCAAGCGCTGATGACAAAGTGCTCGTAGAAGGTTGAAGGGTTCAAGCCGGGGTCTTCCTGTTTTGGAATGTGATTGATTGGCTGGTATTGTTATAAAGAGGAGGCAGCTGGCTTACCAGGAAGGTTAGCAGAGTAAGTAAATGGATCTTGATGAAAGCATGCATGTGCACAGACGTGAGATGAAAATGGCAGATTATTGGGTTTAAAAGGGCCCGTAAGAGAACAGTACTTTAAGAGTTGTGCTACTGGAAGCTCAGTTTATGCAACAGTCAGATGGATTTATAAACTGGGCCATGTGAAGAATCTGCTTGGAACAGCTGTGCCATATTGGCACTCTTAAACATCCCATCAGCATATACATTTATAATTAACTTTAATACACATGTAAGTTGTGTGTTGAAGATCTCGTCAAACACGTTTTTGTTGAGCAAAGTTAATGTATGGAAGAAATATACAATTTAAATGAAAACAAAAATGTTTTAAAGTTGGTGATATATTAGTTGAATGGGGTTTTTAACTTTCCTGCTATGTGTGTCTCTGCCCTTCTCTTATATTTTGTAACTTCTGGCTGCTGAAGAGGTCATCCTGATCTTGTTTCCTGTTTTACATTACAACTGTCACATTGTCACCTGGCGTGTTTTCTGTATCCAGTTTGCTCTCAAAACAGATACAGAGTTGTCACAAATGACTGAATCCACCTGAATTTTGTCATGGACACCCGCAACCCGTTTTAAGAGTGCTAGAGCTGTATTTTAACTCCTGCATGGGAGCTCTCAGAAAACATCCATTGTTCTTGTCTAAAACCATGTTGAGGATAAATAAAAATAAACAAACCTGGTCCAAGTTTTCATGTCTGTATTTTAAAAGTGTGCTCCAGCAGTGATCGTAAACGTGGGGGCATCAGCCAAAGTGGATACAAAGCGAGCCCAGGGTGGTATGAAGTGGGCGAGATATGACTGTTTTCATTCATTCTGACTGATTTCTTTTAAAGCAGTACCACTTTCAGCCACTTGATGACAGCAGAGTAGTAGTAATAGTATGGCATGCCATTGTATCATGTAATAGGTAAGTGTGGCTATAATGACAAATTCAAAAAAGTTCAAGACAAAAACAACTTGACTTTATTTGTTATACTTTATTGTTTTTTCTTGAACTTTTTTGAATTTACCATGTCCTGGATGACTGAGAATCTTCACCAGCTTTTATTGATACAATCGGCCTGCCATAGTCTCCCCACCTTGGTTCTGCTTGCCACTTGGACCGGCCATCAATCCAGCTGCACCGCCCCGACGAAATGCAGCTAATTTGACTATTAAAGTGCATTTATTAAGCAAATGTTAGACTGAGACAAACTTTTGCTATAATTTCAAGCAAACAAATAATTGTTTTTAATTGTTAATCTTGTTAAATCCTTGTTAAAGTCCTCCCATGCACGCTCCCGCGGCTGCCATTTGGCAGCCCATTGTTTTTTGTCACACATTTCCGGGTTCGGCCCACATTTCCAGGTTGTCAGCCTTGACGCGTAACAAACGTGACGCATCAGCGGTGACGCATAATAGATGCGACATATACGGCAAAGCATCATATTTATGGATTTTTCCAGTTTATTAGACAAATATGGACTGGTGCGACTTATAGGGTGGTGCGACTTATAGGGTGGAGCGACGTGTACGGCGGAAAATACGGTATATACTTCATCTGGATTGTAAATGCAAACCCACCAGAAAATGTTCGTTTTGCCAATTATCTGTTTGTTTGGACACGGCCCAAGTTTCTTTCTTTTACCCCTCAAATGTAAAGCGACTTTATATTCCACACTCTGTGCAAAGAGCTGAAACGAAACAGAAAGGCATGCCGAAGATTTAAGGTTAAACCAATTAAGTTGCAGAAAGACACAATGCATGAGCTGACAAGCTTTTTGGGGAACATTCACGTACTTTTGTGCGATTTCATGTGTTTTCCACAGCATGACAGGGGTGGGGGGTCAATTTATAGAGCATGTGCTGGGTGGTGGGTTGAAGCGGTCATAGAAAGACTATTGAATAAGTTTTAGCTTTGGCCCTGGATCATCAGAGAGGGGGATGAGCAGAGGGACAAACCATACAGGCCTCCATTCAATTAGCATCTCATTACGTTGCTATGGCAGCCAGGCTTAAAGTCTACAAAGATTTCCCATTACCCCATGAGAGGACTGCCACGTCTGAACAGACATGTACTCACGTGCACACATATACACACACAGACATTTAGTTACACGGTAAAGAGGAAAACGAGCTGCTCATTTTGTTTTGATCTTGTTAAACATTTTCTCATCCCTCTACTGTCAATTTGAAGGCTCGGCAGCTGAAATGCTTGACGAGATGAATTCATGATAGGTATGTAAAGGTGGGTTAAACAACGCATGTGTTGAGCGATTAGTTTATTTATTTGACTCAGACTGGACCAAGAAAGGAAGTCCAGTTAGGTCTATTGCGATAAACATTAAATCAGTTAATCACATGATAAATGAAAATTATCGACCTCATTTTCGTTTATCGGCTTTATCGTTTTTCGTGTCTCTCTCTTTCTACTGAAGCCACTGGATGACAAAAAGCTCAACTCCAGTGCTCTTCACTGACCCCTCCCTTTCTCTTTTCTCTTTAAAATACATTACATTAAAATACATTTTAACCATCGAAAATCGCGTTTTTGGATCGTTAAAAGTAACTAAGCTGAGAAGATAAGCTACGAGCTAAGCTAACAGGCCGACCTCGGGAAAAAAACTATCTTGTCCAAGCTCCAAAATTCACGGTTGAAACCTGTGCCTTCGTGTAAAAAGTTGTTTTTCTCTGCCAAAAGAAACTGAGAACTTCTAAAAAAGTTAAATCTGGTCCTCTGGACATTCAAAAAAACAAAACAAAGCAAATTGTAGTGAACCTGATCTGACCCTGATCTGACCCTGATGACCCCAAATCTATCAGATGGACAGGGACTGTTATTTCATTGATCTGAATACAGTCTGAGCCATCTGGTGACTTTCTTTCTTGAATTAATCAAGCAGAAAAGACAATTCTCTATGATCATCACTGTTTACAAATGTTTGATAATCAAATTGTGTTAGTTCACTCAATGTTACAGGTTGAAAAGAACTACTCATTTTTATTTTACATAAACAGTAAGTAATGATTTTTATTCCTCATTCAAAGAAGAAATCAGGTTAATATGCATTTCTTGATTTTCTGTCTGAAATGAGCCAAGTTTTGTAAGTATGTGAAAGGTCGGTTTTCGGTCAACTAAAATGTTTACCGAGAAAGATGTCATGTTTAAACTTTTTCAGAAGATTACCAAGTGTGAGACTCCACGAAGTCTGCTTTTCTGCAATAATCTCTCTGTCAGTTGTTGAACAATCTCATTCTCTGACCTTGGCTTAGATAACATCTTACGTCACAAAAACACACCTCTTTCTGGTCCATCCACGAATCAGAAAGCTCTAAAGTGAACCCGGAAGTCAACTCATTTAAAATATGGCAACTTCCCAGTTCATGTTAGAATTCAGGAGAATTCAGTAGAATTCCAGAGAATTCCAGAAGCTGGAGAGCCTGAGGAGATGAAGAACTACAGAGTTGCTGGAGTTGAAAGATTCTGTTAGAGTCTGAGAAGTTCTGAAGAATGAAAGGAGTTCAGAGTTTTTGGGTGCAAACGCGTTCAGGATGATCCAGAGACGTTTTGGAATTATAATTTCTGTTTGAACACCACGCACGACTCTCGAAGGATTTCAGCTGCTCTCAACGGAGACGCTGAAAAGTCTGAAGGATTCTATACCGACATTGAGTCATCGTCAACCAGGTAACAGTTTCTTCTTCGACTAAAGTGTACCGGAAGCAAGCAGAGATCTGATGAAGCGTGCACGTTCTGGTCAAACAGATTAATTCCCTCACATATCTCTCTGTAAGATAACTCCATTTCATCTTAAAACTCTCAACTTTCTCATAAAATCAGTACAGATATTTTAGAAATATCTGAAGCAAAGTCCTCGTTCACCGCCGAGTGATCGATGTCCCTTTTCTGTGAAACTTGTCTGTTATTATTTTCATATTTTGCCAAATTAATGTAAATGTTTGATGTTAAACTTTGATTCTGAAAATAAATGGCCGCATTCACTTTGATGGGTCAAAGATAAATAACGTCTCTCGTTACATTTCTGTTAAATTCAATGCACGACATTACACAGTCAGAAAGATGAGGAACTCGTGAATATTGTATGCATATATATCTCATATATTGTCATACTACAAAATCAACAAAAAAATGTAGAAACGTTTCGTCTCTCATCCGAGAGACTTCCTCAGTCTCTCGGATGAGATATGCTAAAGAGCTCAAACCACACCGAGCATCCACCATTTTGAGAACCGAAGAGAGACAGTCCATGTCACGTCAAGGGGCCTCCCTCCCATTTTTCTTAGTGATACGCTGCTCGCTCCCTCACTATTCATCCTACAGTTCAAACAGTCTCATGCTGCCATCCGGTGGCTGAAAAAAAGGTACTACACGCAAAACAAATTAACAAACATTTCTTCTTAAATTTTACAATAATGACTAATTTTTGCCAAACTTCTAACACTATTATCGTTTATCGTGATAATTTCTGAGACAATTAATTGCCCAGCAAAATTTGTTATCGTGGCAGACCCAAATTCAGTTACCTTTTATTCATGATTTCACTTTCATACACACATTTGTTGTCATCTCAGCATAAATATGAATTGTCCTGAAGCTTCATTGATCCATTATCATCTCATTCAGCCAACTTTAATCAAGTTTTATTTGTTACAACCGTTTTGATAGAAGTAGATGTGGTTTCCCATCTTAAAGAGCAAGGAAGAGAGAGAGAGCCCTGAACTAACATAAATAAATAATAAATAAATAAAGTGATATGTGTTGTCATCATTGTATGTTCCCATACAAAGACAAAATGGGCTTGCTGCGTTTAACCCGTCACACCTGGGATACACCCAGGTGGAGCAATGGGCAGCTATGTAAGCGCTCGGGGAGCAGTTTGGGATTAGGTGTCCTGCTCAGGGACACCACGAGATGTGCAATGACCGGGGATCGAACCCAGGACCGAGTCGTCTGCACTGCCCGTACACCACATGGTATTGGACATGATAGAAAATACGTTAAATCTGCTCATTCATGACATTTTGATTGGAAGCTGAATTTATTTATTTTTATTGATGTTTTTATTCTTTTGATTCTAGTTTATACACAGCTGAGATTGTTTTTTCTCTCACCCAAATACTTTCCACGTCTGTCTTTTTTATGCCTTCAGCTTCTTTCCTCTCTCCTTTCTCCACTCCTTCCTTTTTTATGTAACTGTCTGCTCTGTGGATGGAAGTGGAAACACAAACAGGCTGAGTCTGCCTTGTGGTCTCTATTTGTCCACCTCTGACATCTGTCTACTTCTCTTCCTCAGATTTGTACTTTCCCCCTCACAGCTGACATGGTCATCTAGTCCTCACCCAATTTTGTGCAATTTTTTTTTTTAGTGTTTAATAAGTTTGCATTGAAATCATCTTTAGTGTACAAATTAGGTTTTGCATCCTCCTTTAAATACCTCCCTTTCAAGCCTCAGGAGCCTGGTTTTTGGTCAATGAAGTGTCATCACTGACACCTAGTGGCGAGAATGCAGTACTGCAGGGCACTTAAAAAATGCCTTTACATACTTGAACTGATGTCATAAACAAGTGTAGATCTGAAAAAATAAATATAAATTTTTTAATTTTATTTATTTATTACTTTTTTCTTTTTGCTTTAGATTGTCCCTGCACAAATCCAGCTCTGAAGATGGATCTGGAGGTAAGCAAAAATGCAATTCCAGGTTTAGGGTTAGGGTTTGTATAAAGACTTTTTTTTCTCTGGTCGTCTTTTTATTAAGCTCATAAAGTTAAATAAATAACGCATATAAAAAACATCATTTATGTTTTACATGTTAAAACGGTTGTCTTCTTTGGCTCTGTGGAGCTATTTTGTTTGCTTTCTTTAATATTAATATTTTGGTTTCCAGTTTATCTTGAAGCCACTATTAAAAACTGTAGCTGACCTTTGAAACACATGGAAGCTCTAATTCAAATCAACTGCAAGTGGCATTAGTTACGTAACAATTGTAGGATTGTAGGACATGCTGGTATTTCATAAATGAATTGTTAAAGTACAGTATTGTAATTTCCATCATCTAGAAACCACTTTGTGTTGGGTTTTCTTGTGAGCGAAACAATAAGCAAAATTTGACAAGATCCATATGGTTTTGCATCTTTTTTTTTCCTTTTCACTGTGTAACAAAAACCATCCCTTCTACCTCAAAGGCAAATGGGATAACAAGAAGAAAAACAAGTCTTTTTGGCAGAACTTCCGCAAATCTCAGCACAAACCCGTTGTTCGACAGTCATCCAAAGGTTTGTGTGCTTCCTATTTTTCCACCTCCAACTTGCAGACTGTTTATTGCTTCATGCTTTATGCCTTTTGCTTTCTGGTCTTTCACTCCGATCAGGAGAGGATATCGGCTACGTGGCCAGTGAGATCACCATGAGCGACGAGGAGCGGATTCAGCTGATGATGATGGTGAAAGAGAAAATGATCACCGTAGAAGAAGCTCTGGCTCGGGTAGGAGTCATTTGCCTCCCCCCTTCCTCAATCATCCCTCCCCCTAAACGACTTAACCAGTCTGTAACCTTACTTAACCTTCACACCCCTTCCCCTCCTCCTGGATTAGATGTTAGCCTCCCCACGCCTTGTTCTCCATAGCCTTACAAAACCTCTGGCATTGTAGAACAGCTGACTCTTACTAACCCCTTAAGGCCCCATTCTTTAACACGGCATTGTCTTCCTCACACACACACAATATACAGTATATACACACAAACAAACTCTAGAACATCTGGCATGTCCAGAGGTTCGGGAGTCTTGGGATTTGAGGGTTTTCAGTTCTTGAAGTGTGTGTGGGTGTGTTCTGCTCGTTATTACGATGATGGTAACTCAGCAGCATTGTAGCCCCACCTGTTGGGGGTGTTGGATGCTGTGGTGCTGTGTGATATTTCTCTAGTTGGACATGGTGGATAATTATTTGGCTTTTCTATAAATATTCTTTCGCTTTCTTGTTGATCTTCTAATCAATGGTGGTTTTCTTCTACTTTTTTCTTTTCCAGTTTCCCTTTTCCTGTCAATGACAATCTGTACAGCCTTGCTGCTGGGTGACATGACACGTTCATTATTGTCCTGTTTTGGTTTAAGCCTTTTTGTTTTTTTTTATTGATTAATAAAGCGTGCTTTCATCTGACTGATCCATACTCTGTCAAACCAATCAATCAACCTGTTCAGTCATGTGGATCCTAGTTCATTGTGCTTTCATGTTCATATTTTGTGTTTTCTGTAGTGTGCTATGCTTGTATGTATATATATATATACACACACAGTAGTCCCTCGCTACTTTGCAGTTCGTTTTTCACGGAATCGCTCTATCGCGGTTTTTCAAAATAAAATTGGTCACGACACACTGATGGATGAGCCACACGATCGGCATGGAATTTTTATTTAAAACAAATTATTTTTTATTATTTAACAGTTGTGTGCAGCCCACAGCCACAGAAAAAGCTTCCTCCTGCACCAGTGTGCAGCCCATACTGCAGAATAAATTTCTTCATGCAATATGTCACAATCTCCGTTCTGCAGCGGAGAAGTGGGCGTGGCCAACAGCGCAGCAAGAGGCAGAGAGCTGAAATCATGACATTCTGTGCTCTTTCAGAGCATATATATATATATATATATATATATATATATATATATATATACTAAAATAACCTACTACTTGTACTACAATACATAGTTCCCATGTGACGTAACATTTGGGGCAGATCCAGAGCTCTCCTCTCGCGTGTAGGCAGGCTCTAACTGGCTCTAGCTGCAAATACTGGCTTAGTAAGTTTTGTCGAGTATTTTTTTTTTCTTTAAGTAAATTGCAATAGCTGTTCCAGCCAGGTAGATGGTTCAGCAAAGCGCAGTGTTCACTTAATCTACAAAATCAGCAAATGCAAAGGACCGCAAACGAGCTGAATGCAGCACATTGTTCCGTATGGCTTGGAGAAGTAAACATCACCCGCACCTGCCTGCCTTCAGAAGACGGCAATCTGCTCCGATCACTTTTTTTTCCTCCGGTAAACCAAAAATTATATATCAGTCATTTTGTGAAACAATGTCTGAAGAATGTCAGAGTATAACTGTATGTGTGTTGGAACTGCTCTGTTCAAGTTTTAGCACGTCTCTACGGTAGTTAGCTTAGTTACACTAAGCTATGTGCTAACATTGTAAACACAGTAACAATGTTGTGGGTTCCGTCTCGTTACCACCATAAAACCAGAGTTATTAAATCACACTTAAAATAGATCATCATGGTAAATTAAAGAAGAAAAACATGAGAAAAAACGCATGAAGTTAAAATTGAAATATCAGCAATATTTAATGTAGTGCAAGCTACAATAGGTAAGCTAAGTAGCTTGTGCTACAGTAAATATTAGCGGACTTTACTGTAGCAAAGATTAGCTTAGCTAATGTAACTTATATCTGCAGGCTATGAGGGACATCTACGCGTATATTATTGTAATTACTTACTCTGCCAGCCACCAGAACTTTTGTTATTAACATGAAGAGTTTGAACATCCTTCACAAATCTGTTAAAACATTGATATCCTTGGATTTAGCTTAAGGCTGCAAAGCTACTCCGTTGTAGTTTACTCCTCCGTTGTGTAGTTTACTCCTCGTGTTCACTAAATAATTAACTATATCAGAGTAACTTATCAGTGACAACATGTCAGTGTGGTCTGACACGATTTGTTTCTCCACCTCATATGGGTCAACTCCGACCGCAGCTATCTTAAGCGTATATCTTTCTCTTGTGCCTTGGTCAAGAGTCTGTCTGTAAGCCATCTTGAGCGAACACGGTCCACTGTGAGCCTACACGGGTGGAGGAAACGCGGTATTGCGCAATGCTGGTCACGTGTGTGGGAGCTATGTATTCCCACTTGGTGGTTTTTCACTTATCGCGGGGCTTCAGGGTACGGATCCTCCGCGATAAACGAGGGACTACTTTATTTACAGTATATTCAGACATTCAGCTATCATTTATAAAAGAAGATATGTGTTTGTTGTAGAGAGCAACAAATATCATGAATCAGAATGCTACATAGAACAGGTAATGTTGCCACACAATATAAATGAAGTGTTTTTCCTTATTAAATGGCCAGTGTAGTCAACTCTGAAGTGATGTTCTGTCAAATGGTTGTCAATAGTTATCAGCCTAGTCTTTGTCAAGGCTAGGCTAATGGTTAGCCAAATGAGGACCTATTTTTTTTTAATAATTTTTCAGGCTTATGAAACTACTCTTTCTCAAAACGAGAAACACTACACAAGCTAATAGCAAACGTATGCAATTTTGCATGATACCGCTTGTTTAGTTTGTCGTTTTTGTAACTGAGCATTTGTCTTACTACACGAATGCACATGTGAGGAGCATTCTGGAGATGTTGTTCCATCCTTATATCCTCCATCATTGACAGCCATTTGTTCTTATGTATGTGCTACATACATGGATCATGTGTGGACACAACAAGAACAAACTAGAATCACATCCATAATGCATTAAATCCCCTTCTTTGTGTCTAGACCCTCACGTTATGTCATGTTTTACGATCATACGTGACAGCATCTTCTTGTGCAAAAACGAACCTAATTAAAAGGAGAGTTCAGATCTTGGGAAAGAGGATTTTGTGCAAAGTTTCTATTTTTTACAGAACCACTCAGAATCAGAACTCTCATTTAAACCTGTTGATTTTGAGATTAGATATTGAAGTTAAAGTTTGTAGTTAAAGGTTTTCAGATACACGAGTATGATCTTCACCTTAAATGAATGTTGTTAAACGTGAATGGTATTTTTCTGGTGGTCTTTGTTTATAGCCAGTCAAAAGGGTTCTTGGTGAGAGTGGGTGGGCCACCCTTGTCCCTCTGCCTCTAAACTTTTCTTCTCCATGTAGCTGAAGGAGTATGAGCGCAGCAAACACTCCAGCAGTACTGACACTGCAGAGTGGACTGATGGATCTACACCCAATCTAAACCAGTCCTCAAACTGCAACGTAAGTACACCCCCAGATATCCACCTGTTCCCATCTGCTGTACTTCACTTAACACTCTCAGCTTTAGGAATGATATTTTCATAGCCAAGACTTGTGTGCATTGGTGTGTGGGTTTACATCTAAATGCAGTTTTTACCTGTACCTCTAAAACTTCTTTTTAAAGTACCTTTTAGCATCCTCACTCAACTTTTCTTTTGACTTCTTGTTCTCTCTTTCTCTGCTCTATATTAATGAGCCAAATAACAATGTAACTTTGCAACTACATTTCTCTCCACCATGTCACATGATACCTATTTAAACTGGTGTTGTTACAGAAAAATTGGGCCCAGGTCTTTCAGAGATCCTTTCAAAACGAGTTGTTTTTGTCATCGGTGTGGTCCTGTCCTGTTTTGCTAGCGGTGTCTTTGTCAGCTGTGCTTCTTGGAGAGGGTGATTGAAAAAAACGGGAGAATTTCCAAAGAGAGAGTGGAGATCTCTGAGGGAAGTTAATTCTGTGAAGGCACTTCCGTAATAGATGCTGTGTGTGTTGGAGAGCTTGAGCTCAGACAATCATGTCCTGTTTGATGACAATCCATCCGCTGTGTATTGACTTGTATGTTCTTATCTGGTGAAAGGTGGAATTCATTCAACCTTTATTTAAACAGGTTAATCCCATTGGGCCTCGGCGACTCATTTACAAGAGACCTGATTTTTAACCAAGAGTGATGACAACAGTGGACAACAAAGACAATAATAGACAATCATGAAGGATGCGTACAAATTGAGATTATTTTTTGACAAGTGAAAATAAAATGGTATTTAAAAGGAAAAGTAACACAAAAAACCCCAGCTAGGTTGTAAGGTGGTGTAGAAAACTAAAAAACAGGAACATGTCTGCATTGGATATTCCCAGGAATTTAACAGATGTTTAAAGCCACTTAGAGAGGTCAAGGTTGAGAGCTTCAGATCTTTTTGCAAGATATTCCAGGAAACATGAGCAGTGTAGGAGAAGGCCCTTTTGCCTAGTTCAGTCCGCTCTGAGGGAACACTGCAGGTAATAATGTCCTGAGAGCGCACGCTGTAGCTGCACTCACGTAGCAACATGTAGGAGGAGATGTATGAAGGCAGCAGACCAAGAAGTGATTTAAAGATGAAAATATACCAGTGAGAGAGTCTGTGTGAAGTTGATGATGACCAGTTAACCAGTGAATACAGGTTGCAGTGGTGGCTACGATAGTTACAGACAGTTATGAATCTTAATGCATCATGATAGACAGCGTCCAACATCCGCGGGATGCAAAATGCTTTCTCCTGTTTGTTTTTGCATTTTTTTTTATTTTTTTTTTTTGGGGGGGGGGGGGATCAACTGATGTACCCGATTAAATATGAGTCATATAAAAATAAACAACAATATATTTTTGCAGTCTGTCATGGCGAAGAAGAAGCTGAGCCTGAAAGGTAAAGCTGGCAACTTACTGGTCCACCTATGGTCCAGCCTTTAACTATGGTCATGAGATTTTGATCATGATCAAAAGGCTGAGATCCTGGATCCAAGCAGCTGAAATGATCTTCCTCTGCAGGGTGGCTGAGCTTGATGAGACATAGGGGAGGAACGCCATCATCCAGGAGGAGCTCGGAGTAAAGCAGCTGCTCCTCCATGTCCAAAGGAGTCAATGGTTCAGGCATCTGATTAGGCTTTCTATTGGGCACCTCCATACAGAGGTTTATCCAGGCAGGTTGCACTGAGAGGAGATCCAGCAGAAGACCCAGATCTCACTGACAGTATTATTTATCCTATCTGGTCTTGGTTACCATGGGATCACCCATAATGAACTGGAGAGTGTCTCAGGAAAAAGTGGTGTATGTTGCTTTCATGACCCAATGAATAAACAGTAGAAAATGAATGGATGGATATATTTATCCTTGTGAAATGCAGATTCAACGCCCAACAGTTTTTGTTTATTTTCTGTAGAGTGGACTCATAAGGGACTAACGTGCATCTCATAAACTGACCCACTTTTCTTTTTTTTTTTTAAGGAGTGACTTTTATCTAAACACAAAAACTTCCCAAGTTTGTTGAAAATAACTTCCCCGTCTATCTAGATTACTGTATTGCTATTTTCAATCATGTGTAGCGAATTCCTCATTAAACAGACTTTTTCCGAAAGCTGTCCCAGTTGCAATAGTTTATTTTATGTTAAAGAAAATTGGCACTTTGACTTATAAGGGCAGATATAAATTTACATCATAATTACACTTCATCTAAACACATATACAGTATATGCTTTAGTGACTGATGTGCCTGGATGTTATGTATTGAAATTATTTAACTTGAACAGTTATTTTTAGTTAAAAAAAAAACAAAATAAAATCTTGTTCCTGACTGTTCCTTGCTGGAGCTGATTCAGTGAGTTTATAAATCATGCAAAGCAGTTGTTCCACTCTGTATTAAAATATTCTTCTGGGTTATGATTGACGATTTTCTTCCAAATGAGAAGTGGGTCAATTCCTAACCTAAGCCCAGGTCCTGTGTGTAACCTGACTCTTTGATCTTCGGCGCTAGAATTGTTCGTGAAGATGACGATCATATGAATTAGTCGGTTAAACCTTGTCTTACCCTTCTGCTGCCAGTCACCTACTTCCTGTTGGAAGAAGATTGATCGATTGGGGATTTTAAAGATGTGTGTTACAGTACTGTGGGGGTTATTGTGCAGAAGAACACACATTTCGACTCTGGAGGCGAGTGCCGGAGGCTGAGAGGAAACGAGGGAGTCGGAGACAGGGAAGATAAAGACTTTTACACTTGTGCTCAAAGCCAGAAAAGGGGGACCTCTGTATCGCCTTTTTGCCCCAAGTTCCAAAATGGGACGCTTCAGGAAATGTTTCCTCTCTGCTGAGGCCCCTGCTGGCGTCTCATGCTGCTCCTTCTCCTTTCTAGTGAATCTAATTAGGTCAAATCCAGAAAGTTAACAGTTTTACTCCTCCGAGCACGCCTGGATTCTATATTCAGAAACATGAATACAAAGTACTCGTTTGTAGCCGACTTATTTGTACTAGTCAGTACTTTTGGCTCTTGTGTGGCTTTTGTTTGATGCTGTCTTTTCTGGCGAACTGAGCCCACATTCCAGGGCAGGCCATTAGTGATTTGGGGGCCAAGGCAGGGTCAGAGGGGCTCAAATGCCGGGATTGTTCTCCATGCACAACACGCCTTTTCTCTGCTAGCTATGCAGCACGGCACTTCCAAACAGTCCCTCATTCCTCTTAGCTGAACTCACTAACAGACGGCGTCAGCCAGCGTGTGCACAGGCTCACGGATGTTGTTTTTGATGAAACGTGTGTGACAGTGTGGTCAGCGTGCCTTGAATTCTCTTGTTCTTTTTGATTTTGGGGTTGTTAACAAAGGAAAAGTTTCTCTGCATGCTGCAAGAAGTGGTGAGTTTTTTTTTAATGTACATTGATTGTACCTGCACTGTAATTTGCCCATATTCTGTTTGGGTTTGCACAGTAGAAATATTTTTGATGTTATCTGCTTATAGTATCTGAAGTTATGCAAATTATCCGTAAAGTGACATGTGAAGTGAACTGGAAATATTAGTGGGAAAGATCCTTTGACTTTGTTTACAATGGTGGCCATTAAGCCCTCCTTGATTCATGGCCTCATATATTTGACTCCTTTTGTCTCATTCTCTTTTCGCCTGCTTATCTAGTCATTTGTATGGATGCTTCTCCTTAAGTCTGGGTTGAGAGTTTTGTATTCTTACCACTTTACCATCCTCCACTTCTTTACTCATGGGAAAACTCTAACCAAGGCAGTTGTGCTTCACAGTTATTCTGCCTTAAAAACAAAGTGGCTTCATCAAAGAATATCTGTTCGCTCCAGTCAACTCGTAACCTTTCTGCTGTCTCTTTTATCAGTTCTTTGATTGTTTCTGAAACGAATAACCTCAAGTGTCATCCAAAATAAATGGAAAATCAAATGAGTCTCTACTGCAGCAGGATTTTGTGGTTCTGTTGAGAATGCGTCATGGCTGATGTATCAGTGAAATTGTGGGTTTCTACAGGTTTGGCAGAAACTAAATGAATGCCTGTAATACCTTTGCTCTGGTCTGCTGGGCTACCGTCACACACAGCTCTGTTTTTCATACAGTGCTGAAATTGGGGAAGTGGTGGTAAAAACGGCCTGTTTGGAAAAAACTAACTAGCACGATGACAGCGTGATTGGCATGTTTTGTTAACTTTTTATCCCATACCATCCCAATTACGTGAGTAATATTAAAGTTAACAATGAAAAACCGTGAAAGAGCAAGTCCGCAAATGTTGAACCGCGAAGTAGCGAGGGACTACTGTACAGAATGAAAAAAGGCAATCTGTTTAAATTTAGATGTGTTGTTTTTCTTTTTAAGCTTGGAGACATTTAATACTTTTAAGACATTTAATTGATTCATAACTGGCAGTGATTATCGTACCCACCACTGCACCATGTATTCACTGGTTAACTGGACATCATTAACTTCACACAGACTGTCTCACTGGTATATTTTCATCTTTAAATCACTACTTGGTCTGCTGCCTTCATACATCTCCTCCTACATGTCTCTGCATGAGTGCAGCTACAGTGTGCGCTCTAAGGACATTATTACCTGCAGTGTTCCCTCAGTGAGGACCGAACTTGGCAAAAGGGCCTTCTCCTTCTCCGCTCCTGTTTCCTGGAATATCTTGCAAAAAGACTTGAAGCTCTCAACCTTGACCTCTAAGTGGCTTTAAGAATCTGTTGGACTCCTGGCAGGGACCAATGCAGACATGTTCCTGTTTTTAGTTTTCTACATTTGCCTTATAATCTAGCTGTTTTTGTTACTTTTTAGCCATCTTATTTGTAAAAAAACAAAAAAATCTGTACGCCTTTTAATAACGGCCTATTGTTGTAGCTGTTGTCCATTGTTGTCATCATTCTTTGTTGAAATCAGGTCTCTCTTGTGAAGGAGTCCTCAAGGCTCAATGGGATCAACCTGTCTAAATAAATGATGAATGAATTAATGAAAAAAATACAGTGTTGTAACATTATTGCACCAACAGATAGTGAAATGTCAGGATGTTGTTTTAGTCATGCAGTGTTAATTTGTGAACATGTTCAGAGTTAACATTAGTTTTGCTAAACGCATGCTTTTGAAGACAGCATTTTCTTGTGTGCTGAAAGATAATTCAACAGTAAGCTAAGTCCCACAGACTTGTTGTATGTTGCACATTTGTTCACATCTGTCTCTTGACCCAAGCGGGGCTTTTGCTTTGGAAACCAGCGAAAAACAGAAACAAAGTCATTTGGTTGCTTGATGCCAAAGTTCAGCTCATCGCCACAGATTGAAGTAATATTGTCCAACTTAGGAGGAGCTCGTGTGTGTCAGTGTGTTATTGGAGCAACTGTTAGGGAATGAGTTTTATCTTCAAAAATTCCTTATATATTTTTTTACTTTCACAAAATTATACCAAATGACCTTCAGTACTTTTGTATGTGTTCATGTATATAAACTTCACACAATGCAGTGGGCCTCCATCCCTTCAGCCCATCATCTCTTACCTCACTAACTTTAATGTCACCCTAAGCAAAACTCCCATCTCCTGTGCTTTAACATCATTCTTAAAATATCAGTGCATATATACAAGTTTAAACTTTTGGTGGTCGATAAATTTAAGACTGAATCCTAAATCTGTCACAGAACAACAAGTCTTCTTTTTATTATGTGACCCTTTTTTTGTTGTTGTTCTCTTCCAGCAGTCTCATGAACAGTCAGATGACGAACAATCTGAGGACTCCGTGAAGTTCAAACGGCTGCACAAACTGGTTAACTCAACACGCAGAGTCAGGAAAAAACTCATCAAGGTGGAGGAGGGCAAGAAACATTCTACTGAAGGTCTGTGGTCCTGTTCAACTTTTAGGAGTTAGATCTTGAATTATGTTGTTAGATAGTTGTTGATTCCAACATATTCTGAGGGTTTAGATCAGGGCTATTCAACTGGCGGCCCGAGGGCCAAATCAGGTCCCCGTGTGCACTCAGTTCGGCCCAACAATGAGTTCATTTTTAAATAAATCTTCATTTTAAATCATAAATCAACCTTACTTAATGAGAATTACTGCTGCATGTCTGGGCCCTCAGCTTTTGGCTTTTAATAACTGTGGCCCCCTAAGTAATTTAGTTAATCTCCTGAGACCCAGTGTCCTCATATGAGGACATTGATTTTTTTTAGAGAACTGCTTATCATAGAAAGCTGACATTTTGTTTATAGAGTTATTGGGACCTTCTGACCCCAATTTGCAAAGAAAAATATAAAATGCAAAAATAAACCTACTGTCATATGAGGAGGACCTTTTTTTTTTCAAGAACCACTTTCTGTACAGACAGAGTCTAGTTATTATTAAATCCTACTAATCCCATGTACCTTGGAGAAAGAAAACCATGCACGCCAAACAAAAGCTTGGGTCTCAGGGTTATATATAGCCCTAGTTTAGATGGATTATGTCTCAACTCTTCTGTGAATGAACCATTTTGCTGAGCCTTTTGTTTTCATCTTTAGAGTTCCTGAATTTGGAGACGCCTCCTCGCTGTGAGGACAACACAGCTCTCTACACGGGGGTTCTAAAAAAGCCACCTTTGCCCCAAGAGGCTTCCCTGCAGTCCCTCACCCACGATCAACTCTCGCTGGATGGAGACTCGGACAGTTTGACGACTTCTCCGTCTTCCAGCAGCCTGGACACCTGGTCTGGACACAAGCTGGTGAAAACCTTCAGCAAATCTTCCAGTACCCACGGTCTCATCAGGCCCCCGAGGAGAACCACAGTTGCCTCGAGCAACGTAGGAGGCTCTGTCTCTGGTGTAGCGGGCAGTGGCTCGTCCTTCTCAGAGCTCGACGGATGTGGTTTAGACGATGAGGGAAAGTTGCAACGCTCCACAACGGATGGCGAGATGAGGAAGGCCCTGAGCTCCATATCCCACGGGGTAAGTAACAAAGAGGCCCTGTACGCCTTCTATGGCCTCACCAAACCTCGACCCAAACCCCATTCTCAGTCACGCCTTCTCATCTCCCTGGATGATGGTCCTCAAGGCAGCCCCAAACACCAAATTGCCAACCGCCACCATGGCAGCTGGACACTTCGGAAGCCTGACCCCAACTACGCATACTCCACCAAACACCTGCAGTATCAGCGCTCGCGCAGTGCCAAATGTCCCATCTCCCCACTGTCCGTCAACCCCTCCTCCCCTGTCCGCTGCGACGTAGCCAAGTCGAAAGGGTTTGGAAGTGGCGGCGGGGGCTGGGTGTTCCCCCCTCGCAGGCTGCGAGGCCGAACCGCAGTCAGCGAGCTGAACATCACCTATGTTGTAGAACGAAGCCTCTATGGCCACCTGAACTGGGCCCAGCTGGTCCGCCCAGTCACTCTTAGCCGCGCTGAGCGCCGCTGTCTGTTGGAGGAGGACCGCGAGGTGGACAGGAAGTGGGCGGCCAGCGTGGACCGCTGCACGAAGCGGGTGCTGTTGCGCATCCAGCAGAAGTCTGTGAGTTTGGACCACGAGGTTCCAGTCGGCCGCCGCTCGTGAGCAGTACTTCAAAGTTGCAGAATAGCTCATAATGTTTAGATGAGCACATGTATGTACAAATAGAGACAGTAGAACAGGCCGGTAGTTTTTATTATCCCCCTTTTAATATAGTGCGTATTAAAGAATACCATTTTTACATTTTGATGTAATGGAAACATCAAAAGCTGGCATACCTTCCTCAGATTTTACTGCCCTTTGACAGATGCCATCTCCTTTGACCTTTAAGGGAACGCCTAAAGTTTCAACCCTTTTTACTTCGGCAGAGTATGAAATGATTACGGAAAACGCAGCGCCCCACTTGGGAGGTTAAGTTTCACAAGTGCCTTTTATAAATGTCAGATCCCTGCAGAATGTGCACTCGCGCATTCACACTGATCCCCGTGGGTGCACGAAGCATTGTACGAGCACCGAGCTGCTCATCCTAAAAAACTGCACAGCGCCTCAGAGGCATGCTCTATGAGTGGCCTCATTAAGTCTGCATCACTGGCTGAACAACCATCATGCCTATCAACTTTCAAATTGATGGTAAAAGCAGAAAAAAACCTGGTCTAAAATAGTATAAAAAGCCTGAATATGAAGGAACTTTCTCATCCCGTAGTGGTTGAAAATGTGAGTTATAATGTTTTGTTTAACCAGCTTGAATATAGTCCCTGGCACAGCGTGCATGCTACAGCAGAAGAGATTATTGCAGAGTGGAAGGGAGGGGGTTTAGTTGAGCTATCCTGCAGCTTTGAGTGTATCTGAATCTTATCGTGTTCTGGTGAAATCACTGGAGGTCGCTCTCATCCAAATTCTTTTGGTTCTTGCCTATCTTTTTTTTATTTATTATTCTTTAAGGCCCGTGCCTCTTACGCAGATGTGGCATATTTTTTTGTTTTCGCTTTGAATTATTTGATAGAGACCTTGTTTTTTCTGGATGCATGCCCATTCCATTGAACATTACCATCACATTCTTTTTGGACATTTTTTTTTATTTTTAAACATCCTCGTTCTACGAAACTGCTTTTCTACCGGGAAGCTGTGATGTGGACTGCAGCTGTGGATATGCAACGCCGTAAAAGTTTATCAATGTGCAAAGCTTTCTACGTATTACGATAAGCTGAACTCTCTATGAAGCAAAAGGGAAATATCATCGAGCACTTTCCACACAAATGTTTTATATAAATGTTTATTTGTGTGTGTGTGAAGTCAGAAAGTCAGTTAGTTTTGTCTCGTATCATAGTTCCTCTTTGTGTCCAGCCATGTTCTCTTGGGTTCCTCTAAAATCAAAAATCCTCTCAGATGAAACAGTTTTTCAAATAAATTGTTTCTGCTGAAAAGATTATGTCGTTAGCTCCTAACAACCAGCATACATGTTGTGCACAATTGCATACTGTGCCCATTTTTGCATTTCTCATATTTACCTGCAAAAATGAACTATGTCAGACTCATGTGCAAAATAAATAATGTGTCAGCGTCTTCTCCTTTTACCTTAACTTACAGTTTTAACTTTTTCCTTTACAAGGTCTCAGTTTAAAATAACTTGTTGAGGTTTTAAAATTTAAAGATACAGTTGGATCGATTAAGATATTCATTTGTTTTAATCAAACTGTACCTATGCCAAATTTTAACTGTATTTATAACAAACAAATCACATTTTTTATTTATTTATTTATTTGCATTTGTCCCTTGCTTACAAATTATAGGCCTGGATTTGAGTAAATTTAAATAGCAGCATTTTGTAAAAAAATAAAATAGAATAAAATAAACATTAAAAAAGAATAAAACATTAAAAAAAGAAAAAAGTTTACTTTCATTAGATTTACCCCCTTCTTCCACTACTTTTATTTTTACTTACATTAACAATGTTACAAATAGTTTAATTTAAAATCTTCCCCACTCAGTAAAATCTTCCACATTAAAATGTATACTTACTTGCACAAATAGGCTGTGATGAGATTATGACGCAAAAAATATTATATTTTTGAATGCACTAGTCAAGCTAGTGTTACCAGTTCCTCTCTGCGTTGTGCTGGTTACTAAAAGAATTAGGCCGTGACACGATTTATCTTGGGCATGGTTGGTTCCTCGTTTATTCTGACAAGAATAACAAACACAAATCGACCACGTTATTGGCTGCCCGCTCCAAATCTTCTTGTAGGACAGTTTTATAAAAGGGTGCGACCATGTCGCACGACTTAAAACAAAACGAACTTTTATATACTGTATTTTTCAGATTATAAAGCACATTAACCAAAACAAGTTCATTTTGACAGATTGTTGAGCACCATGTACCACATAAAATCAGTTTTGAGGTCAGTACACACAACCAGAATTAATACAAAAGGTGCACCAGATTATAAGGCCCACTGTCGATTTTTGAGAAAATTAAAGGATTTTAAGTGTGCCTTATAGTCCGAAAAAATACGGTATATTATGACCTGACAAGAATAACAAACAAAAATCAACCATGTTATCGGCTGCCCACTCCAAATCCTACACAAAAGAAAAGACTATAAGAAAACTAAAATAAATTATACAATCTATACAATCTGCAGTATTCTATAATACTTTACAATTCTGATTTCA